TAGTGAAGGGCGGGGTATAAATCCAATCTCTTCTTCTTCAGTTCCCCAGTCTTCCACATGCAGCTGCTGGTGTGACCTTGGGTCAGTCACAAGTTCTCTCAGAGCTGTTCTCTCAGGAGCTCTCTCAGCCCCACCTACCTCACAGGGTGTCTGTTGGGGGGAGAGGAAGGGAAAGGAGTTTGTAAGTCGCTCTGAGACACCTTTGGGTGGTGAAGGGTGGGGTATAGATCCAATCTCTTCTCTTCTCCTTCTAAAAAAAGTGATGAGAGAGAGAGAAAGAGAAAGAGAGAGGTAAGGGCACCAGTAGGCAGGGGTGGGGTATAGATCCAATCTCTTCTCTTCTCCTTCTAAAAAAAAGTGATGTGAGAGAGAGAAAGAGAGAGGTAAGGGCACCAGTAGGCAGGGCAGGGCGATGGCTCAGTGCAGTGAGGCCGTGGCATGTGTGAAGTTGGGAGGCCTGGCCAGTAAGTCGGGGTGGGCCTGGCCTCAAGACGCCCCACTGTAGCCACAGGCCTGCTGTGAGGTAGGTGGGGCTGGAAGAGCTCTCTCGAGAACTGCTCCCGTAAGAACAGCTCTGAAAGAACTTGTGACTGGCCCAAGGTCACCCAGCTGGCTGCCTGTGGAGGAGCAGGGAATCAAACCCGGCTCTCCCAGATTAGAGTCTGCACACTTAGCCACTACACCAAACTGGCTCTTTGTACAGGTGCTTTAGAGTCTTTCAGGTATTCTACCTACGGTTATTTCAGCAATCCTCACAACAGCCCTGTAAGACGGGCCGGCGGTGTCTCATCCTAGCCATGCCCCCGCCAAACCCCAAGCAAAGAAGGTTTCCAGCTCTGGGTTGGGAAACACCTGGAGATTTTGGGGGTGGAGACTGAGAAGGGCGGGTTTTGGAGGAGGAGGGGGACTCCAGCGGGGTATAAAGCCAGAGCGTCCACCCTCCAAAGAAGCCATCTTCTCTAGGTGGACTGCTCATGGTCATCTGGAGAGCTATTGTAATACTGGGAGATCTCTGGGGGGCACCTGGAGATTGGCAACCCTACAAGCAAACCGGCACGGCTAGATCTTGAAGGGAGCCACAGCTGCCCATCTGGGGGTCACAAAAGTGGAAGAAACGGAATAGCATTCTCCTGTAAGGAAAGGGAATGAGACTCCCAATAGCTGTTCTTTGTTCCTGAGGAAGGACCATAAATCTAAAACACTGAGAATTACCTAGGGATATTTATCTTGTATATTTATACTTTGGACTCTGTATTTCCCTATGGTGGATCTTGTTGGTTTCAGTGTTTTCCTATGAGGGAATGTATGAATAGATTCATTTCAGACTATATATGCATTTCACTTTGTTGAAGTATCCTTTTGTATATTTATTTATTTATTTATTTATTTATTTTTGCAGGACATTCAGCTCACAGTCGTTTTCTGTTTTCTTTGCAATTGGGTCGTGGTTGCCGGAATTCTTGTAACAAAGCCAGAACGTCATCATCATCAGTATTATTATTATAAGAAGAAGAGGAGATTGGATTTATACCCCGCCCTTCACTACCCAAAGGAGTCTCAGAGCGGCTGACAAACTCCTTCCCCTTTTCCCCGCCCCACAACAGACACTCTGTGAGGCAGGCAGGGCTGAGAGAGCTCTTTCAAGAACTGCCCTTGAGAGAACTTGTGACTGACCCAGGGTCACACCAGCATATCTAACAAGGGATACTCCAAAATTCAGCTCATTCTGTCACTTTCATCTAGATGAAGAAGAGACTGGATTTGTACTGCGCCCTTCACTACCCGAAGGTGTCTCAGAGCGGCTTACAAACTCCTCTCCCTTCCTTCCCCACAACAGACACCCCGTGAGGTAGGTGGGGCTGAGAGAGCTCTTGACAGAAACTGCTCTTTTTCAAGAACAGCTCTGACAGAACTATGGCTTGCCCAAGGTCATCCAGCAGGTGCAAGTGGAGGAGAAGTGGGGAATCAAACCCGGTTCTCCCAGATTAGAGTCTGCACACTTAACCACTATACCAGACTGGCTATTATTATTGTTGTTGTTGTTGACTTTATTTACTTCCCCCCTTACTCTCTAATAGGGCTTACACGGTTCTCTCCTCCCTTGTTATCCTCACAACAAACCTGCGAGGTAGGAGTCAAAGTAGGTGTTTCCGTGAGCTGTGCCACCCAAGCGATTGCCGGAAGGAACCGGGCCAAAAACGAAAGCGCCACCCCCAACGTGGGCGACTCAATGAAGTCACCTCCAGCGGATGTCATCGCCGCACGCCGTGGAAGATCCGGGAACAGACCCAGGGTCGTCCGTCCCCCCGTCCCCCGCCGGCATAATAGTATTGTGTGTTTTGTTCTGAAACGGTGTTTTTCTACGTTCGCTCACCCTTGCCGTGTTTTTGTTGCCTTCCTGGAAGCGGGCAACCCCACAATAACGTCCATTTTCTTTGCAAGAGGGAAAGTATCCGAGACATGCAGTGTTCTAGTCATACTTATTTACAAGTATACAGTTTGAGAAGGGGAGACTCCCCTCAGACAGGAGGGGGTCTGTAAACATGGGGAGAATACAAGTGGCCCACCCTCATGGCTTTTTTAAAAAAAAAACTTTGTTACCCACCCTTTATTGATCCACAGGAGAGATTACATGGTCCTCCCTCCACCATTTGATCCTCACAACAACCCTGTGAGGTAGGTCAGGCCAAGAGCTGGCACATGGGTTTCGTCCAGTGAGTTTCGTGGCAGAATAGGGGGATTTGAACCATGAGTCTGCCTGGTCCTTCTTCAACGCTTTGCGTGCTCCAGTCGAAGCTTCACAGACCGCTGAAATGGTCCGGGTCCACCACCCGCCGGTGAATCTCGCTCGCAAGCTCTCGGCCGGCGAGAAGTCCCTCCTGACTGGTTTCACAGGTCCAGTTGGCCAAAAGGTCGCTGAAGTCAGGAGGGTTGCTGTTAAGGATGCCAATGGGGCTGTGGGATGGCTCCTTCCAGAAGGACTGGGGGAGCTTCCTGCTTTGCATGGGGGTGACGTGGGCGTACTTCCTCCTGCCTCCAGAGGAGGCGCGGTGCTCCATGTACCTGCCCAAGCCGTACTCAAAGAGCTCAGCCAGGGGTCCCAGTTTCTCCACCCCGTCTTTGTCACAGAGGCACTTCCACAGTTGTGGATCTGGCGGTGCTGGGGTTTTCGGGGTGTCTGAGAAATCGTCCCCTTCCTCCGGTTCCCCGCTCCGAGACATCCTGACCAAGTCCGCGTAGTACAAGACCCGGCCCGACAGCCGCGGGGACCCGTGGTCGTCGTAGATGTTCCGCGGGGCCCCGTCTTCGTCTTTGCCCTTGCGGCCAAAATACCTCTGGATGTCATCGCTGATGCGTTCCGCAAACTGGAGGAGTTGCAGTGTCATTTCTGCGTTGCTCAAACTGGGCTCGTCGGAGGCGGCCCGCTCCCCTCGGCCGGGACTGAGGCTCTGCGGAGAGTCCTCCAGTTCCATATCCTCTCTTTCCTCCTCCTCCTCCTCCTCCATTTCTTCCTCCTCGGATGAGTCTTGGAAAACCATCTCCTGGCAGGCGGAAGTGGGCAGGAACGAATGCTGAAAGGCCGTGGGCAGCCGAAATTTACTTAGGTTCTGTATGACGCCGGCCGCCATTTTGAGTCCCCGTCCTTCCGATCTAGACTAAATGACAGCAGGAAGGACAAAGCATCATTTCCCATCCATCTTACCTGGTAGATTTTTATTCTGCTTTTCTGGGATCAGTAGCCTTTTACAACCCAAGAGCCAAACAACAAATTCAGAGCGGGATAGGAGCATGTGAACAAGTAAATGAGAGATCGAGACAGAGAGTCAGTCTAAAAAAGGCCATCTGCACAACTGAAACTATACAATTTAACAAAGTTTGATTCCAGCGGCACATTTAAGATCAACAAAGTTTTATTCTGGGTATAAGCTTTCATGTGCAGTGAGCACTGACAATTGACATGTTGATTAATAATCCAGAAAGTTTCTGCAGCCCAAACACTGGCTGTTTGGAGTCCTTTATTAGGAAGCAATATCTTTTAAGAAGTGGTACGCATAAGGTCTCGACATAGAAGAAGAAGAAGAAGAGATTGGATTTTTACCCCGCCCTTCACTTGGAGTCTCAGAGCGGCTGACAAACTCCTCTCCCTTCCCCTCCCCACAACAGACACCCTGGGAGGTGGGTGGGGCTGAGAGAGCTCTTGACAGAGACTGCTCTTTTCCAAGGACAGCTGTGCCAGAGCTTGTGACTGACCCAAGGTCACATCAGCAGGTGCGAGTGGAGGAGTGGGGAATCAAACCCGGTTCGCCCAGATTAGAGTCCGCGCACTTAACCACCACACCAAACTACACCACTACATCATAAATCTACACAAAAGCAACATGTGTACTCGTTTGAGTGTGCTGGCATAAATCTGTGCATGGTTTGCACCTGAATTATGAGCCCACTGTTCACACCTCGATAATTTCCCTTTCTATAAAGCATCAAATTATGGTGCTGGAGAAGACTCTTGAGAGTCCCTTGGACTGCAAGGAGATCTAATCAGTCAATCGTAAAAGAAATCAACCCTGACTGTTCCCTGGAAGGCCAGATAATGAAACTGAAGCTCAAATACTTTGGCCACCCAATGAGAAGGGAGCCCTCACTGGAGAAGAAGACCCTGATGCTGGGAAAGACGGAAGGTCAAAGAAGACGGGGTCGGCAAAGGATGAGATGGTTAGACAGTGCTATCGATGCAAGGAGCACAGGGGTCATTTCACAGAAAAAGAGGTGCAGGAGCTCATTAGCATAACTCATTAGCATAACTTCTTTGCATATGCCACACACCTCTGACATCAACAGAAGTGTGTCAGAAGGCAACACCCACCGCTCAGGCTCCCCTGGACTCTTTTGGATTGCTAGCTATTGGGGGGGGGACGTCTGTCCTCGCAGAGGAGGGAGAGCTTGTACCTGAATAAAACCTGGTCGTAAAGGTGCCACTGGACTGTTTTGGACTGGGGGGCCAGGGAGGGGGGCTCTGCAATTTACCTGGCTGCTTCTTGCTCCGACTCAGGGCTGCTGGGAGCAGGGGGTGGGGCTTGTTGCATGTGCCCGCCCCCTGGGCTCTTTATTGCCGGAGCTCCGCTCCTGTGCGTTCCTGCAGGAAATGACCCCTGAACGAGCATGAAATTAAGCAAACTCCGGAACATGACAGAAGACAGGGGGGCCTGGCGTGATGTGGTCCATGGGGTCGTGAAGAGTCGGACTCAACTGTGCAACTGAACAACAACAACGAAGCATCTCTAAGGAGCCCTTTAGACCCATCAAAATATTGGGCTACCGTTCCCTTCCACGCACTGGCTCTTTTAGCATCTGATTCCCGCCTGGTGTGAAAAGTGCCGACTAGTCACAGCCAGTGTTCCCTCTAAGCTGAGTGAGTGTGAGCCAGCTCACAGTTTTTTTAGCCTCCGGCTCACACATTCTTGTCTCAGCCCAGGAAGGATGGGGCTCCAGAGCGAAACTAATTGATGCAGCAGCCCGATCGCTCGCTCACAACTTTAATGCCAGTCGCTCATAAAGTAGAATTTTTGCTCACAAGACTCCGCAGCTTAGAGGGAGCATTGCTCACAGCCGGTTTATGGCATCCCAGCAGGATGTTCAAGGCAAGAGACAAACAGAAGTGGTTTGCCGTCGCCTGCCTCTGCGTAGCAACCCTGGACTTCCTTGGTGGTCTCCCATCCAAGTACTAACCAAAGCGAACCCTGCTTCCCTACTGCTCCAATATACACTCTGAAAATCTCCTTTTCTCTTTTAACAAGCCACACTTGGTCCCTGCCTGCAAGTCCTGCCCCTTTGACATGAAAACCTTTTCTCTTTCCATGCGATGTGTTATTGTGTTTGCATAGTGTTGAGGGGAAAGTCCTCTGCACGTGCTCAGATGCACTGTGTGTGGAGATGAAAGAAATCTGGTGGGTCACAGGCGGAGTCAGGATAGATTCTGAAAGAAGAGGAGGAGGAGGAGGAGGAGGAGATTGGGTTTATACCCCGCCCTTCACTAACCAAAGGACTCTCAGAGCGGCTTACAGTCTCCTCTCCCTTCCCCTCCCCACAACAGACACACTGGGAGGTAGGTGGGGCTGAGAGAGCTCTTGACAGAAACTGCTGTTGTGAGAACAGCTCTGAGAGAACTTGTGACTGGCCCAAGGTCACCCAGCAGCTGCATGTGGAGTAGTGGGGAATCAGACCCAGTTCTCCCAGATTAGAGTCTGTGCACTTAACCACTGCACCAAACTGGCTCTCCCTCCCTTCCTCTCCCCACAACAGACTGGCCCGAGGTGTCTTATGTGTCTCAAAGCAGCTTACAATTGCCTTCCCTTCCTTTCCCCACAACAGACACCCTGTGAGGCAGGTGGGGCTGAGAAAGCGCTGAGAGAAACTGCCCGTGAGAGAACAGAGCTGAGAGAACTTGTGACTGACCCAAGGTCACCCAGCTGGCTGCATGTGGAGAAGGAGTGGGGGAATCAAACCCGGTTCTCCAGATTAGAGTCCTGCCGCTCTCAACCGCTACACCAAGCTGGCTCTCAGGGAGCTGGGAGGCAGCAGGGAATGGGTTAACCGTTCCTCTCCCTCCACCCACTTCTCCTCCCCACTCCAAATCGACCCCTTCCAAAGCAGTACACAGGATGATGCCGGTGAGTGAAGAGAATGGGTTCAAGTGCCTGCAATCTGGGGTCGGTTCCTCTCTCTCTCTCAGCCTAGACTACCCTGCAGGGTTGTTGTGAGAATGAAGCAGAGGCAGAGGGAACCACGTTCGCTCCCCTGAGCTCTTTGGGAGAAGGGCAGAGCTGTGTTATGCGCTTCCCTCTTCTAACGGCCCCCCCGTGCATTTGGGTGTGGAAATTCAGCAGGGGTTTCTGCCAGGAAGAAGAGGAGGAGGAGGAGATTGGATTTCAGTGCTTGGGGCCTTCAGGATTCTCTTCCGCCAATGCAAGAGGGTCATTAATAGGGCAGTCTTATGAAAAATAATACAGTGGGCTTTTGACAGGTACAGCTGTGTCCAGGAGTGTCATCAAACAGCAGTCCCTATGCATTTATGGTATCATTTAAAGAGTCTCTTTGGGTATTTCCTGGCAGGCGGAAGGAGCATAATTCCAAAGTCTGAGTGGGGCATGCTCTGGCCTGCAGTTACAGTGGGGTTTGCGGGGGTAGGGGGGCTCCGCCCCCTTCCTTAAAGGGCCAGCCCCACAAGATTTCCTTCTGAAAATGGTAAGGGATTTCATTGTTTTAGGGAGGGGAAGGGAGGGGGGTGTTTCCACATTTCATTTATGTCTGGGGTGGCTGTTGTGG